GTTATTCAAAAGATAGACAATAGAACACGCTGATCTTTACACGCGAAATCGTTAAGAGGCTTCGTTTTATCGATCGTGTCCAGCCAGTCTCGATACACGTACGAGGAATTACAATTTGATTTTCTTTATCGATACGGTGTGCCCTGTCGTTGAATCTCCATTTTTACGACCGCGGCCTTTGATTTGCCGAGAAGCGATAAAGGGAATGAAAGACGAACTACGAGTGGATGGAGCACAGAGAAATGTAGCAGAAAAAGAGATACGGCGACGAGGAAAGGAAAGGACGAAATAGGATCGAAGTGCGGGAAGGCAAAAGGGACCATTCCGCAACGTTTCTCCTATAAATTGAACAACTCTTCTTCGCCGATCTTTCGGGACAAAGTTCCCGCGGAATTATTCAAATTGTCTCCTTTATATCGGCGAGTTGCTTAAGACAGTGGTAATTTTAAATACTGTTCATAAAACGACAGATGGAACTTACTTGAACGAAATCTAATAGAATGTCAACACGTTTTAGTTAACTTATTAACAGAGAAACAGAGTTTGGTTTAAAGAGATATTGTTCCCTTTACAATTATTATTAAATAGCCATCCAAGAAATTAAACCTTGAAAAATTGACGCGTTTCCAATTTTTCCAGATCGATACCTACGAGATATCTCGACTCGCTTGCATACTTTACTCTCGAAATATCTGTTGCGGAAACTCTCCCGTTTTACAAGCCACTTCCTTATCGCGTGCATGACTCACCGACCGAAACGCGTACACCCACGATATCGGCCGAGATTATGGGAATTCGGGGACGTTAAGGAGGGACGTAAGTAAATAGGTCGGCGGGAGTTCGATAATTGGCCGTCGTAAATCGCCAGCTCGCCGGAAGGCGATCATCGCGGTGGCGTGTCGTTGACGAAAAGTGGTCGGCCCGTTCTGTCGCTGCGCCGTCGTAAATTAAACTCTGACTCCTTACGACCAACTTCGATTTAACTTCTGGCTGCATTTATGCGATCCTCGGCGACGACACCTTTCATATCTTCGCCACGTTTCGGCCAAACTATTTATTGGCGATACGCGTTTATTATTTTTTTCGAATTAATTTTGAGAAAAATATATACGTAATATTTGTAATATCGGATTGCTTTTTTCTCTTTAATTTTTTTCACCACGCGTGTGATGGATTTCGGAGAGCACTGGTAGAGAGAATTTATCTTACGTACGCGACAAATAATATTTTCGTTTCGGTAATGAAAATTTCGCCTCCAACAACTGGATCGCGATAACACGACGTTAATGCGCGCGTAACATTCCGTTTTTACGCGATAATAAAATTTTGCCACGCATTCCTGAAACGTTGATGAGCGTGATGCATTCGAAATACTGTCGTTTCGTTTCGTTCTGGAATTCACTTGTATTTGTATGTATGTAATATCGCGGAGATAATATTAACTCGCAATGGAAATAGTTTGTTTTCGGATAGGTGGATGGAAATTATTCGCTACGATTACATCATTATTGTGGAAAATGATCGCTTTATTTACACTTTGGAAATACCCTCCTCTCTTTCAACATGAAATACAAATGTGATATTCGATGATGAAACTTTTTAAAATTACTTGTACAATAAAATAAAATCTTTTAAAATACACGGACTAGTAAAAACTCTTGTTATCAAAATATTTCGGAAGAGATATAAATAAAATTTAAATTAAACACGTATTGCCTTTGCCTCCCAAAACATCATCGTGTCTCGTCTTGTTGAAACAGAATTTCAAGCGTTCTGGGACGAAATCTGGGACGAAACAAAAAGAAGATTTACAAAAAAAAATACGAGGAATTATCGCTGTGCATGAAAACAAGATATAACCCGATCCTTGCCAACCTTGGCGCTGTCTCAGCCCACGCTCGTTCAATTTTTCCCGCGGAGCGGTTTCGAAGGAGTTAATAAATTGCCATATTGGAAACTTGGAATTGCGTGTAATTCATCTCTCACGTCGAGGTTTAACGTCGATCAACAACCTCGTTTCTTGACTTTGACTAACGTCGAATCTATCAGTTTTCGTCACGTCAGTTTCAATTGTAATTATAAATTCGATGAGTATGAGTTTGTACAGATGATATTAAGATACGTGTATAATATTTGATTAATTTTGAGAATTTGGTTTTGGTATTTTATTATGTTTTGCTGCGAAAAAATACATTATGATTCTTTCCAAATTTTTTTGTAGGATAGCACAAATTTAACGAAGGAAAGGTGTTAAAAATATTTGGATCATATCTATAGTGTATCAATTTTTGATATTAGAAGCAAGGAAATAATTCTGTATTTCTTTTCTTCGTTCGTTTTTTCGCACTTATAAAAAGTCAGTAATTATATCGTTAATAAATGTGAAACGATGTAACTGCAAAATAAACAAATGCTAAAAATTAACAACTAAGAATAATCATGGGTTTTTGCAAAACATTTTACAACCTCGAAGTTGTAACCCATCGATTAGGGATCGAGCTGTTATTAAAACGTTGAAAAATAAAACGAGCAAGGTTAATTAACTTTCTGAAAAATTTTTAATTCTTTAATTTTACGATATACGAGTAACATTTTTCAAACTAAAATTAAACGTGATGAATGTTAACAGAGTTGATTGAATGAATGAAGTGTATATGATAGTTTTTTATGAATCAATCGAGATACTTCTCCAACAAATTGAAATTTCGTGTATTATTCTCGCAAAGAAGCTCGATTCTAATACGTGAAAGATATTCGAATCGTTTTCGTTTTATTAACGTAATTCAATCCGATTAATTTACAAGAGACAACAAATTTGCTTTATGAACATGTTTGCACACGGTATGAACAAAGTCTGTCAAATTTTGTGTTTGCATGTGTTTCCAGAAGAAATATAATACTAACACAGCCACATCGCCGCTTACAAAATATCTAATTCTGTTCTAAATGACAAAATTTTTCAAACACCTTCACAGAAATGAATATTTTATATAATGGTGATAAAACAATGCAATGAAAATTGAAATTTCCTTTAATTAACTGCTTTAGACGAAAGGTTCTCGAATATTCTGAATTATTGAACTTGGGGCTGTGAATTATTATCACCTGTTTCACAAAATCGAAGAAGATTTTGAAAATATAATGAAAATTCCCTTTAACAAAATTTTACAGTAAATGTAAATGTATCACGCGAGATAATACCAACGCGACACAATAAATATTTAAATCGATTATATGAAAAATAATTAACATATGCGATACAAGAGCATACCATAAACTCGACAGCGTCATAATTGAACGCTGAATAATCTCCCGACTTTTACGACATTCTCATTCGAATTTCTCCACAATGTGTCGATTCTTCACCGATAAATGCCTCTTCTTTACCTCGCCAATTATTCAAACGAAATTGTTTCTGAAGCATCCCTCGAGCAAGCTCTCCCAAAAATTCCCGTCCTATGATTCTACCAAATGGGCCCACGCTCTCGTGGCAAGGATTAAAAACAGGACTCTCCATTTAACCCCCCTCGAAACTCGTCAGCAATTACACCCTCGTCTCTCGTTTCGCATCTCCTCGCGAATGGGCCTCAGGCGAGAAGATGGCGGACGGAAGAGAGAGAGAGAGAGAGAGTTCGACACGTAAATTTATTCAAGCATAACCGATCTGGCACACGTTCAACGCGGACGCCGCCAGTCTGAGAAGTCCGGCGCTGTTTTACGATCAAAGTTCGGAACGACGACTCTTTCGCCACGATCCCGCGGCCGTCCTCTCCCGCCTTTGTGCCGTTTCTCCCTCCTCTCGACACGCTCCAAAGATTCTCTCGAGCACGTTTCCGTGCCGAGCGCGGAATTTCCATCTCGATAATCCCGGGACCGGTTCCACCAGCGCCGATCCCGCGGAACCCGGTCGAGATTGGAGAGGTCAGCGTTTCCGGCCGAGTCGAGGCACACGCGTGAGGAATTTTTCTTTTCTCTTTTTCTTTTTTTTTTTTTTTTGCCGCGAATCTTTATCCGCCGATCTCTGCGGTTTCGTTTGAGGGGCTCTTTCTATGATTTTTTTTTTTTTTTTGGAATCGATGTTGGATTTTTTATGGATGGTAAGTACTTGGGAAAGGAATGGAACGGAAGAGAGTTTTGCGTGGCTGATGATTTAATTGATTTTTGTTACTTGTATCGATCGTAGAAAATGAGGAATCAATGAAATTATGGTTTATTACTGTTATAAAAAATATTTATTTTCTCACTTGTTTGTGAAATAATTATTTGTTTCTTATCTGGATGCTTGATTTGTTATAAAGGTATGTTAGAATATTTCTTTTGAAAGAGTGGTAGATTTTTTTCTTTAAAAAATTATTTCCATTTAAATTAACCATTTAAACGAAATTAATCTCCGCCTGTTACTATATCTTCAATGTTTCACTTCATCAACGATATTTAAACATTTTTAAATTTCAAAATGTAAAAGTAAAAGTTTCTTTGCCGATCGTCTGTAATTTTTTTTTAACGAAACAACTCGAACGATATCGATATTTCCCAGTATTTATATCGGCCGTTAGCGCCACCCCTAATTAATATTCTCACTCGACTCGCCGGCTTCGAGGGTTTGGGTAAGAAACGTTTTTTCGACGAGACGAAATTTTAATCGCAACCGACGGCGATTAAAACAAAATTCTTCAAGTGCACTCCGCGTTAGCCCCCTCCCTTGGACGAGCTCGCTGTGTAAAAATGTTCCATGCTTTCTTCCCTTCCTTTGCTCCTACTTCCCCTCCCCTCCCCCCCCGTCCTCCCCCTCCTTTTCGATCGTTTCAATTCGTGAATTTGAGAAACGAAGAAAATTTTTATTCATTTTTTCTCTCGACTTTGCAAACAAATCGAATTCAATCTCCCGCGCGGCAAACTTTGAATTAATTGATTAATCGTCGCGTTGTTTCCGTTTCGATCGATTAATTAATGATTGTCTCTTGTATTAACTGACGATTTTTTTCTTTTTTTTGTTGTAGAGTGACAACGGGCTAGTGGACACAGATCCAGGTCGAGTTAGCAACATGACAGCCATCAACTCGGTATGTAATTAATCAACGAAATCATACAAGCATAAACTCACAATAATACAAACTACTTGGACACAATCTTTATTCTAATCTTCTTGTGCAAACAAGATTGACTCGAATGGGCGAAGAAGTATCGATCCCATTATATCATTTTTATCTAATTGAAACCCACATTTCCAAGCTGGTCGGTCGGTCGAGTGTTTCGAATCTCCTCCCCCCAATCTATGGAAATTTGTCCAATTTATAAACAATGACGGGATCAAAGGCGAGCAGATCCTTGTCGATAAATCGAGTTTGGCCGATCCAGTGAGTCGATAGTTGCGCGATATTCGCAATGCTCCAATCCATGGAAATTCTCTTTTGCGCTGGATGGAGATGGGATACACGATGTATGGAAATGAGGAACGCAGGCGGAAGTAGTGGGTGGCGCGCCCCGTGAGAATCGTTGGTCGACGAAAGCCTCACTAACACTTTTTTCCATCCAAGGAAGGCCTTGGATTCCACGATAGGAATTCCATTCCAGGATCTCCCGGTGATCCATCTCTCATCCACGATGATTCTTCGTGAAATTTACCCACCGATTTCAGGGAAAGTTTGAAACATGAAATTCTTTAAAAATGTAAAAATAAGTAGTTTTTAAAATATTATGACGTGAACGTAGAATTAGGTAGAAACGTAGAGTTGCTCGATTAGTGAAATTGATCGTTTGGCAATTGTGAAAGAAATATTTTGCTTGTATATATATATATATTATGAATATGTACATTTTTTTTATAAATTTGTAGCAACGAATACCACGGCTTGCATGTTGGATGAAGCAAAAGAAGTTATTTTACATTAAAAAAATGACAGTTTCTAATCTTCAATATTTACACAAAAACAAAATATTTATATATAAGGTTGGAACGCAGCAGCCTATATGTTTAATATTAATTTCAATCGAACGAATAATTTTATCATTTAAAAATCCACTCTCTACAAATTTGATTCGTAAAAATCACGTTTAACATAAAAAATTGTGTATACAAACAAGTATTTATTTCAAGAATCGTTCTAAAAATCGAACCAAAAAAAAAAAAAAGGAAAACAAAGTTCCGCTGTTACCGATTCGCGGATGTGGGGGGATCAAGAACGTTTCTTGGCGGATGTTTGCCCGAATATAATTTGACAAGTTGGTGGGAGCGTGTTACCAGACCTGGCCGTATTATTTAACGCGTTTCAAGAGTGCTGTAAGTTACGAAGTGAAATACGCCCGCGGCCGCTGCTAAATTCCATTTTAATAGTTGAAACGCCTGTGCAGCGGCCTCTGTACCCGCGCTTCGGGGAGTCATATTTCACCGGGCGTCTCGTACACAAGCCATAAGTTCGGCCGCGGGTTCCCTTCTTTTTAACCTGGAGCGCCACCCGGAAATGATATATCGATCCCGCATTGCTCCTTTTCTCGAACGATTAAATAATATTTCCCCGTGAATTACGAACATTGCCCTTATATTTATGCGAGACTTTTCTCCCGCTCCATTGCCCCTCCTCCTCGTCGGTCTCTCCCGAATAAAGGGATTTCTTAAAGGATTGTTCGAGTGCAAAACTTTAGATTTTTTGAATTTTCTTTTCAAACTCGTTTAAATTTTAGACTTCTTAAATTCTCGTCCGTTTAAATGTGGCTGGTTGAACATGGTAGAGGAGAATTATTCGGTTCATATGAAAAGAAAATACACGTTTGCTAAGATATAACGTAACTCGAGATGAGCCTTCAATTATTTCCATTTATAATAATCGTGATATTCGTTTTTTTTTTTTTTTGTATCTAGTCCCTAAAAATCGTGTTATTTTTACTTTGGAAATCATTATTGCATTTTCACAGTCCTTTTTATTACACAGTATCAATCACATCTTTTATCGATAAATTGGCATACGTTGAGCCTCGGATGAAACTCAACTTCAATCACTGATGAATGAGTCTCGATCGAAAAATATTTTCCGCCGATTAACAAGGCAACCCAGTTTCAAGCGAGCGCTGCAAATAACTGGACACAACTACTTGGTGTGCAACTATTTTTGCAAAGGCCATGGAGTAAACAGTTTGTCCGATTGCTCTTAGAATTACTGTGTGGCGTAGCGTGCGAAATCGCGAGATTTCTAGGTTAATGGCGTATCGATAAATTTGAATTGCGCTGCCCCCTTCGGGGGGGTTGAAGTTGCGCTCGTGTAATCGTTGTTCGTTAAATCGCTCCTCGTTTCAGCCTATTTAAAACTGCGAGAAACTTGCGAATAAGTAAGTGGATGTTTACACGAGGAATCATCGAAATGTAATTATGGAGAAACGCGCGAATTGCACGCTATATAATTGCAGTGCAAAGAATTTATAGCGTCTGATCTTTGTCGTGTACAATAATTTTCTAATCTGAAAACGAAAATAGGAAACTTGTCAATTCACTCTTTTGCTACACGACTCAAGATTTTCAGTAACAAAAACCAATTCCTATTCCTATTCTATTCTTGCAAAACTTTCTTTCCCTGAAAAACGAAACACGTGTGTTACGTTTATTACGACTTATTCAATTTCCCAATTCACTCTAAATCTAATATCATTTACGCAACGGGTCGATTGTGGGGAGAGGCGAACACGAGACCGATGACTCTTTTAATGAAATTGTAGCCGAAAGACGGTACTAAAGGATGGAGGAAACCAAGTTTAAATAAAGATCGCGCATGTGGGTCAGCCGGCGTGGCGTGCATCGTGCATGTGCGTTACGCAAGCTGATCCCGCAGCGCGCATCACTTGCGTCGAGCTTTGTTTAAGACGGTGCACAACACATTTAATGGAGCCGAAAAATTCGCGGACAAATATTTTATTATAAACGATGCTACGGAATTATGGAATTTGGAATGTTGCATTTTTTCCCCCCTCTCGATTATTTATTGGCAATTGGATTATTCGAGAGATTACGTCGGATGAAAATAATTTAAGGTGAAGGTAATTAGAGATAATAAATCTAATAATACATTTTGATTCTTCCTTCGGTTTTTCATAATTTTTCAAAATAAGAGGTTGGTGAGAGATTTATTTTAGGAACGAAGTAATAATTGCACGATAAAGTTAGATATTTATTATAAATTTTAACAATTGTCTTCTAGGATTTTGAAGTTTGGAAAAAATACGTGATCTCGTTTAGATCGTCGGATCGATTATTTCCAATATATTCTCGTTTTTAATATTTGACGCTCAGCATCGAGGTATTATACGATCTTCTTTTATCCATTCAAATTACATCGAATGGATGAGTTTCATACTTCCACGTGGAAAGTACGATGCTGTACATAACTAGATATAAGAGTTGAAACTATATTTATACATTTTCTCTTCTCCTCGTCTCGTATTTCTCTAACGCAGCCACTGAAGTGAAGTATCCGTAACAATTTTACCAAGAAAGTATCCTCGATAAATAAACGTAACATGTTTCGTTACAGATGGATAGATTTTTATCACTATGATGAGGAAATTATCAAGTGTATCTAGTAATTTTCAAAAGATTTCAAGTTGCAAAATAATTTGTACGAAAAATCTTTTTTATTATCATAAATAAGAAAGGATTGATGCAATAAGTAATTAGATTAGATTAAAATTGACTCGAATCGATGAAAATGATAATCAATAATGATTATTGCGGATTTTTAAAATTATATATTGATGAAATCTAGCAGTTTTTAAGTGATTCTTGATCCTTTACGTTCATAAGGAAATGAAGAAATATTATTCTCTTATTAATTCTGTTCTCGAATCAGACAATAATATCGTTCCAAAATAATTTGTACGAAGATTGCAGAGTTGTTAAAATCTTTTTTACTATTGCTAATTAGAATATACTTGTATTTATTAGAAATAAGATCATACATTATATTTTCGAAATTTTATTACCGATTCGACTTTATTATTTTACTAACTTCGATTTTTAAAATTATGATACAATAATCTCTCGATATCCATGCTTCCACAAAAAATCTAACCACTCGTTCTCGAGAGATTAAACGACACGTTTGATTTACCAAATATATTTCATACGAAAAGAATTTGTTGCAAGTAAAAAAGAACGTGAACATTTCGTTAGAATTTAAAAAGAAGAAGAACATTTACGATTGAAATTTATTCAAATTATTAAAAACTTGTCAATCTTGTCCAACGTTTCCAGAAACTTTAACCCTATTTCGCGCCAATAAAGGATAAAATGAAACTGAACATGTACCAATTGGAAGAGGATATATATCGAGGAGGGAAATCAGTCGAGCCACGTGCGCCGCGTCGACCTCGGCTAAATATTTATCCGCACGTTCTTCACGAGGGTTGTCACGTTACAGTTTTCGAGATGACGCGACGTGACGAGGGCCACGCGCGACACGTTTTATCCGTCGTCTTTCCTTCTTCTTCTTCCTTCTTCTTTCTTCTTTTTATCCCTAAAGACAGGGCTGGTTTTACGAGCGCGAGGAAACCTATCGGCGGAACGAATGTCGTCAGCTTGTAGAAACGAATAAAACTAGGAGGAGAGCCGCCAATAATACGTTTCTCAGAAAAATCGAAATATAACGGAGCCTATAAATTGACCGAGATGTCACCAATCTCGTAAATAATCCTTAATTGTGCGTCTCTCTTTCCTTCGTGCATATTCTAACTTTTATTATTTTGTCTGTCATAAAGTCTTGTATGTATAAGTGTTGTGTCTTATGGATTCAGAATTATGAAATTTAGATGATCGATGAAAATGTAGAAAAATTCTGTGGATAGAATATTCGATGAATAATCGCTCGTATTATTTTTATATTATCGTAGCAGGTTAGAATCTTTTAATTTTGAAATGATGTTACACACAGGATGAAATTTAAACACATTGATTGGTTATATTTATTATATAATGTAAAATATTGATAATTGTTGATAACTTTTTAAAAAAATAACTTAAATACTTATGATAAATATCTGAAAAAAATAAATCAGAGTTAGATTAAGAACACTCGATTGA